AGAGAAGGAGAAGAGAGAAAACATAATTCTTTCATCCCCAAATTCCAAATCAACTGATAGAGTTCCAACAAAAAATGTCATTCACTTGCATTCGTGTAAGTAGTTTAAAAAATAAGACTTGAAGTGATTTCAGGCAATAGCTCAAATACATTAACTTTTCCTTATCAAAACAAGGTCAGAGAAGCAAGTATACCCTCCACACTTTTGTAAAACACCTCCTTCACGACGATCCAGCCTTGACTTACATGTGAGTGGTGAAAAGATTTATTTCCCTTCCACCAGTGTTTTTATAGGCAGTGGTGGACTGCCTGGAAAGAGGGTCAAGATTTTGTTTGTTAAAAGAAAAAGAAAAATAAAAAATAAAACGTAAAAAGAAAAAAATAATGAATAAATAAATAAATAAATAAATAAATCTAGTGGCTCTCTGATTCTGGTGTCAGGTAAAAAGAGCAAAGAGGACAGAAGTCAGATGTAGCCTGGTCTGAGGCTCTTTCTAGTACTATAAACACTTCTGCTCCAAAGGCAAAAGGGTAAATGAGCTGCTCCAGGCAACAGCAGCTCTTATCAGAGCTAATTTATTTTGTGGTCTATTATTGCCGACATCACCTCAGCTACCAGGGAAAGCGCTAGAAATCCTTTTGTTTCTGTGAAAGGACATTTTGTCTTATGCAAAGGCAGCACTTGCTGAGGCTCTCACATATTGTAGCCTCTATCCCTTCAGGAGAGGGTGTCTAAAATTTGTTTGGATTTGAAGAGCACTTTGAATTTAGGACCATTAACCCTTGAGAGGAGAAACTGGCAGTGTACCATATTATGCAGCGCTTAATCAAACATGTTCACTCCCCCTCAACTGCTCATTCCCTCTCCTGATGTTCCTATCAGGAATATATGCTATAGCAGCCTATTATTCTCCATGCATAGTTCAAAAGTACAAATAAAAACACTGAGTTCAAAATGGGATCTGTAGTAAACCTAAATGAGGATTGCAATTGAATTTGTTAAGCTAATCTCATTGAAGAAAACATCTTCCCAATTGTCTAGGAAAGGTCTGTATAATACAGTTTGGCTCTAGCTTGCCTAGGAAATACAGTTATCATGAAAAGTATTCATATAGACTGGACAGCCTCCCTATAGACCAGAGTCACTTTATGCTAACAGAGCTGTTTCACATCACTGATGGTTTCCATATCAATTTAGTTAAGTTGATGCAAGAAGTTTCAGGAATAGTCTTTCTTGTTTAAAAAACCCTAAAATATGCCATTTTGAATTATTCAAATGAGACAGAAAATATCAGTTAAATGAAAACAACCCACAGGTTTATGCTTGAATAATCTCGTGTTTGATCAAAGAATACTTAAATCCACAACTAACTTTTCCTGGCATCTCAATGATATCAAGCTGATTATATAATTCTTGACCCTCCTTGCCCTCCCTACTAAATGCAGACTTCATTAGGAGAACTAAATGAGAAAATATTATTCCAGTTAATTACATTACTCTGTAAAGGAAAGGAAAATAGATTCATACAAAGAAAAGAATCCTCCTAACAAAAGCAGAACATAAACCAGTAATTCACAAGAAAAATACTTTCTCCATTGCAACTGTTCAGTTCTTTAATGTTAGAAATTTCTTTTAAGTAAGGAAGAGAAGTATGGTCCTTTTACCTATGACATGATTTCTCTTCAGCAAATTTGGGACAGCCCTTGTTCAGAAACTATTAATAATACTGTTATGCTTTGATTTTTGTATGGATAACTTTCATAGCTTTGTTACTGTCAGAACTCTGTTAACATACAGAACCTTCAAAATACCCATGAAATCTGAATTTAGGTAATAAATTCTTGTGTTTTTTTTTAATATTTTTTTTTTAATTTTTAACATGTACGCACTGAAGACAAGAGCTAAGATATTAGCCTTCTTTTAAAATATCAAGTGAACTTTTCACTTGGTTCAAATTATTTCTTGCCCTTATCCCCTTCAACCTCAAATTCCTCCTTTTATTCATATCTGAGCCCTACTGGACAAATGGAAAAAGAATACGGAAAAAGAGTAACAGAGGAAAAAAATCCTTAAATTTGTGTTTTCTTTTTTCTGTATCTTTAATGATTCAAGTCCTGTTTACCTAAGCCACTACTTACCAATGCCAGCTCTCATGATTTAGAATCCACTTGGAAGTAGTTGTCTTAATTTACCAATTCAAATAATCCCTTACAGCAACTTTGCAGTTCATCCAGAAAGCATTTTCAGGAAGCCAGTCCTTAAGCTGAAAACTATGAAGGAAGAGGCTGGAAAAGGTTCTTGTACCTGCCATGGCCAAATGGTGACGATTCAGCCTTGAAGATGAAGACAGGAGTGTGTGCTGGGGGCAATGGCCAGGGGCTGCAGTCCACAGGGGAGTGTCACTGCTGCATTGCTTTAGAGATGATCACAACAGTGTGATTTGGCCCATAAAGACTGCTTTATTTTCATTCAGTTCAGAGACATGAGAGGTGCATAGGAACGAGCTGTAGACAAGGTATAAAAGCACTCCAAAGGAGGTTGATTTACTCTAGAGGGAAGAAGTCATCTTGCGCGATCCTAAATTAAAGTTTTTGGTTTAATCACAATTTTGCCCTAGGGTTTTGGCTGTTCAGAAGAATGAGCTATATAATCTGATAGTTCTTTGACACTCAGTAAGCAGTCCTTAGAAATCTGACTTTTTGAAGCAGTAATGCTAAGGAGACAGACACATTACTAACCTGGAGCACCGCTTGCCTAGCAAGCAGGAGGTATATTACTGAGCTAAAAGCACATAGTATTTCTAACATAACTAACTGCAGATTAAAGGCTGCTGTCAGGATAGCACCCTCAGCTTCCAGCATGGATGGCAGCTGCTCTGTGTATTTGAGAGGTAGTAGTAGTCAGATATTTTTTGTGTTCATTGTTAGTGAGGTGATCTGAGTCAGACACTGAATCTTACCAAGGTCAGAAGAGACGACCAGCAAGCAGCTTTACCTGCCTCCTGCCACTACAGGTAAAGAACATGGGGACAAAGTGGTTGTGCAGCTGCTGTTGTTGCACTCCAGACTGACCTGAGAGGTTTCATGCTGGTTTTACATGACTTGTTTCCAACACACTCCACAGAAGCTGATGCCTGCAGGCATGTGTGGAACTGGAAACAGACAGAGGCAGGGACATAATTTCTCAAAGCTGCCTTCAGACCTTACCCTTATTTTTGATCCATGAGACAGCTGGCACAAATTTGATAGGCCCTCAAGTAGGAGAAAAGCTGCTTACCACAAATAAAGGGGTGGAGGACACATATTCAAAGGAGCCCCCACAAAAAAAGACAGTGTTAAACAAAAGCTTAGAGCTCTGCCTGTGGCCTTGTGTGGCATGGTATCAGGCACTGGAAAGACAAAAAGCACCTGAGGTCATGAGAGCATGGTGGGGAATATCTCACTCCAGGCATCTTGTAGAGGCAGCAAGTGATCCCACGCCCAGTCACAGACTTCTTGCCAGTAGCTTGGTACTCTGCCTCACTGAAAACCCATTTTAAGAGTGTGCCTGGACTGGTGCCAGAGCATTCAACACCTCACAGAGCTGCACTCTCTCTGCATTAAAAATATCATTCAGCTTCTTTGTAGTTGCTGGAAACATCAATGGGAAATCCAGGACACAGACTAATGGGGAAGACATGGTTGTAGGACAGGCCTGTCAACAATACCTTTCTAGGAGAGCAGAGCACAGCAGAGCTGCAAGTGTGGCATCTGGGCAGCCCCTTCTGCCAATGGACAACCAGGGTGCTGCAAGGCCATGGAGCTGGACGGCAGCACTGGCTCCCTGCTCACAGCCCCGATGGGGCTCACGTTGCTGTGGGAGGAGAGAAACTGATGAGCTGCAGTGGCTTTCCACAGCCTTCCAAGACAAGAGGGGACTGGGGCTGTGGATTATGGTGTTGGTGCTATAGATAAATATTCACTAATCATTAAAAAAATCTTTATCAGGCTTCATTAAACCTACTGAATGCATGAGGCTATGATAACATAAAGAAGCAGCAAAAAAGGCAAATCTTTCAAAAGCTTTGTTTTTACCACCTTGTTCATACTCACTGTTTCAGCTGTGAGCACTTGGAAGGAATCAGTAAAATACAGCCAGTTAACAGTCGCAGTGAGTATCTGCTGTTTAGATCAATGCTCAGCTTCTCCAGTCATCTGTCAGGATTACCCTGATCCCACAAATCCCCATGCTTTTGCTGCAGGGCAGCAGCCCTGCGGGGGAAAGGAAGGAAGGAAGGCTCTCTCCCTTTTTTTGTTTCTGACTACCATACATGTTCTAGATGCTCAGTGAGTTCGATATGCCATACTCCCACTGCCCTGTGCTGGAAGGAGCAGTGGCGTGCACCTGCTCAGCTGTAGCTGATAAAGAGAAGTGTGTCTGCCTCCCAGCCACACTGACAACCGCCTGTTTTCTTTTTCTGCTCAATTTGGAACTGCCCATCCGCGCTCTTGTGTAAACACTGAAATCTGGGTCAATCAACCAATCTGTATGACAACAGAGAGTAACATCTGCCCACAGCTGTAACTGATCTGTACAACTGTCTGCAGAGTATTTGTCACTCTGCTTCCTGCTCAGCCTCACCACCATTTCAGCCCTTTGGCCCTGGGTCACCTGTCATCTTCTTGCACAACACAGAGGACATCCACTCAATCACCAACCATATGTGTGAAATAGCAGATCATGCCACTTACTGAGATCTTTTAAAAAAAATAAAAACCTTTGAGAAGGGGACAAGGTCAAACCTTTGCCACAATGGCAGACGATTCAACCTGATTCTAACAAAGACAAACACTGTTTTTCCATCATACTTTATATGTAAAAATACAGATTTTGAGTTACTGTGTATACACAGATGAAAGAGGGAAACAGCTTTATGAAAGGACACTAACCTGCTTGACAGCAGAAGCTATTTTTAAATGTACACAGATAAATGTACAAATAATAGACCCAAACTTCTGGTCATATTCCTCTCCTCAGTATTTATTATCCTCTGCCTAGAAAAATAATTTCCACTTTCCTGAATATCTGAGTTAATATCTCCAGCTTTTTTATAATTCCATGTACTTTGTACACAATACAGATACACTGTTTTCTGAGTTAATCTGTTTGTCAGATAGCTTGTCTTCAAACAACTAGCTACATCAGGATTTCTCCATAGCAAATCAATAGCTCTGGCTCAGCCAGAGTCAAAAGCTTTAGCATGTTGACACGCCTCTCAAAATAAATCACAAAAAATGGCAAGTGGCTGTTACAGTAAGCTTCTCAAAAATAAAGTTGCCATACCATGTAGCCCTTTGATTCTGATTGAGTTTATCCTTTATCCTCTCAGTACATTCCCCCAAAACAGAATGAGACAGACATGCTCCATTTACTTGTATTTGGTAAGTTGTAATTACTTGAGAAACTCCTTTGAAATTACTACTTATCAATGTGAGGAAGACTGGAAAAGTCTAGCCCAGGTCCAAGGTAAGCAAGCGTAAAAAACAAAAAAAAGGCACATATAACAAAAAAAGAAAAAGCTAATAGAACAGAATGCTCGTTACAATACATGCTTCATGCAACCTATATTGAATAACCAGCCCAGATCAGTTTTACCACTCATAAACTTTATGATACATGCAAGAAAGAAAGCAGTACGTACATGACAAGGGCCAAGTCTGTGTTTTCTGAATTTATAGTGTGTAAAGTCTTTTATATTCTCATGAGTTTGTCCAAATACTGCATTTCCTCTTTTAGAAAAAAAACTTTAGGAAGCAAATTTAATAAGGCTACAGAAACCACATGCCACTGAAAAAAAAATAAAATATTTTCCCAATTTCATAATTATCTTTGAAGAGAAGTCTCTCACCCCTAAAATGAAGAAGGAGCCCTGGTGATGGTGGCAGATTTGTTTACCACACATGATTCCAAGCACACAGTGAGCAGGGGAGGTAAAGACAAATGGTTATAATCAATCCAGTTATCACAGCTTAATTAATTACTGCTGACTTGTGTAGGTCCTCATATGCCTGACAACTTCCATTCTTTGACTGAGGCATCTGCAAAAGTAGCATGTTAACTTCTACCTGTTTTCATTACATGAAACATTTATGAACAAATACAACCATATTTAACACGTAATCTTGTGACTATGTTTTGAATAAAATTATTACAATGCCCCTCATTTAATGTTTTCAAGCAACTATTTGCAAATACATTATCAGTTGAAGGCCACAAAAATTTAGGCAGTGCTGCTAGGCATTCTGGTGGCAAATTTAACCCTTTAGTGCCAAGCAGTCCAAGAAAAATCATGACTTTTTTCCCACAGTGATTTTATGTAAAGATTGGATGAGCCTGTGAAAGGAATTGCAGAAAGTCTGGACATTTTTCTCCTTAGCCATAAGTTGTTTTTGTGCACACTTCAGAAAAGCTGAGTTATCAGCATGACTGAGTGTTGCATAGGGGTCAGCCCTGCCTCTGCAGAGTCAGCTGCATGGACTGAAAGTGTCTCTAAACAAGCACAATAAATTGCTGTGTATGGACCAGACTAAAACCAAGCTTGCATTAATATTATTCACAATAATGACAAGCCGTTCGCTTTTCCCAAATGAGGGATCACTGTTGCATGGCCTCTACAGAGAGGAGACGCAGATCAAGGACTGACAAAACATAGCTTTTTTTAAAACATTTTATCTCTTTTTATTTGTTTGTCCTGATGGATTGCTACAGGCAAAGGAGGTATTAAGAAATGGAACTGCACGATACAAACACAGGCAGCAAACTAAGCTGGCGGCATGAAAGGTGTATCTGAGAACACGGAGTTGACAGAGTCGGAGTCGGATTTTGTTCGAGCAGTTTTTAAGATACTCTCTGTAATGACACTGTCATTAGGAAACAGTTTTACTTTCCCATTCTGACTCTGTTTTGGTTCGTGCACAGGTTCCAGGAAAACCACCCGTTTACCAGTGCTAGCCTTCTTCTCGTCAGCTGGCAGCTCTTGCGGCAGTGTGGAATTCAGTATGGATGGGTGGGCACTACTTTGGTTCAGCTTCCTCTTCTTCTTTTTTGCCTTACATTGACATGGGCAGGGGGTCAGATAGAGATACAGCAGCACTAAAATAATACTGGCCACACAGGCAGCAAGGGTGGTAAAAGCTGTATTAAATGCTTCATGAGCGTGGGACCTGTTCACTGTGAAATTGCTAACATTTATTCTGACCTCTATGGTTTCATTTAATAGTCTTTTCTTATTTATTGCAATGCAGGAATACAGCCCTGAGTTCTCTAGCTGGGCATCTGTTATCTCCAGGCTGCCATTAGGGAACACCTTGAAGTTGTTGGTCTCCCTGTCTGGCTCCAGCAATCTATTGTCTGGACTAACCCAAACAAACTGTGTGCCCGTATCGCCGATTCTGCTGTCACAGTGTACAATCAGCCTGTCACCAACCTGGGCATCGTGAATAAACCCAAAGGCTTGGAAAGAGCTGTTGACAGTACTTTCAGAGCAATTCATAATGTTGTCATGCAGCAAAGGCAGTTGATTATGACCTCTTGGGTCTGACTGCAACAAACAGCTGTACTCATTTTTGAAGTCCACCACTGAGCTGAAATGCCTTTGATACCAGAAGATTAGCATGGAGTACAGGACACAGTCACAATAGAATGGGTTGCCATGAAGATAAATTCCACTAAGTTGTCTGGCTGGCACTGAACTCAGGCGCTGAACAGGCATCGTCTGGATGTGATTAAAGGAAATGTCCAGCAACACAAGGTCTGTCAGTTTAAGTTTTCCAACATATAAGTCCAGTGGGAAATGCGAGACCAAGTTGTAGCTTAGGTACAGTTTCTGTAATTTGTACAATCCTCCAAAGGCTAAAGACTCGATCTGGGTTATTTGATTGTTGTACAGCAGGAGAACCTCCAGTTCCTTTAGCTCCTGAAACACAGGGCTGCTCAATGTTTTCAGGCTGTTGGATGACAAGTCTAGATACATCAGATTTGGAGTTGTGGAAAAGCTTCCAGCGCTAATGCTGCTAATGCTATTATGATTGACTATTAAAGTGTTCAGTTTCTCAGACAGCACTGGGACCCATTCAGGCTCCAAAATCCCAATTCTGTTATAACTCAGATCCAGCCTTTTCATAGATTTATAAAGATTTCCTGGCACTCGAGTGAGGTTCTTATTTGTGCAGCTCACGATATCACTGGCACAGATGCAGGCTGCTGGACACATCCCCGGGGCACTGCCACAAACACTCACGGTGAAGACCAAGAGGCATGCGAGTCCTTTGCAGTTCACTTTAAAAACTCCAAGTTGAGTAAGAAGTGTCCACCAGTTTAAAGACATTGTCACTGTCTTTCAGCTGTCTCCCAGTGCTCCTTGCCACAGATTACTTGTGCAGTTAGCTTTGCACTCGTTGCTGTCAAAAGAGGGATACAGAGGTACAGCACGTTAACATTTACCATTTGTACTCTGCATCTTTTCCTATGCCTTTTGAAAAACAGGGAATTAATCCTTACAGTTTCATACAACTAATGGTAAAATCTAGTTCTAAGGTGAGGTAAACTTAACATTGGTTTTATGCAAATGTGAAATTCTGCATTCATGTGTCAATATATATACTGTAGATACAGTATTTTTTATCTTTAAAAATAATGTAACTATTCTTAAGTCTTGGACAAACTAATGCAATTTCTGACAGTTCATTAAAAAAAAATTAGAAATGTTCCTCTGTGGAGTATGACTTGGCAATGGCATCCCCTACCTGTTTCCAAACCAACACAGATAGAATTCCCAGTAAAAGAAAGAAAAAGCCTCATTCTAAAATGTTGTTTCTTGTCTAGTGGGAAGCAGTTACAACATGCTTTTCTTTACAATCAGAAAATGTCACACGTTTTCAAGCAAAGAATTTTCTCAGCCTGCCTAGCTTTAAATGTCATACCAATTTCTTTTTTTTTTTAATTCAGTAACTTATGGTTCAAGTAGCAAAAGCCTATTTTGAAAGTTATTAAGGTTGTTCAATAACAATATTTTGTATTCTGCTTCTTCCATCTTTGCCAATATAAGTAATGAGGAAAAAATTTATGCCTATTGCTTACCTCAGGCATAAGTTTCGGGAACATTCAGTAAGGATGAGTCAGCTGTTTCTCAAAACTTAGTAAAGAAAAAAAATATTTTGTTCCTGTGTAGATAGAAAAACCCCAACCATACTATTTTCTGAGAATATTTTATAGTCAGTACTGTTTGAAACAGGGATGTAAGATTTGGCACAGTAGTGACTGTGCTAAGGGATACACATTTTATCATCTTATGGGAAAATGTACACATACCTAGCAGAGGAATAAACATTTCTGTTCATTCTTGCTCTCCCTGGTACCTGTTTAGAGTTTGTCAGTAAATTCACAGGTGAGTTCATCTGCATGAACCCCTTCAGAGTTCAGATGTGGTATTCAGCCCGCACATTATTATCCTCAAACTCATTTCTCCAATTTCAGCCACCTGTTGGAGCAGTATCTGAGCAGGACAAACCCTGCAATGTCTACTCCGTGCTGCTGATAGTGGCTATGGCCAGGAGCCTGTGGACAGTGGGATGAGGAGAAAGAAGTAGCCTCAGATGGAAAGGAGGAGAATAAAAGAAGAAATTGTATTCTCTGATGATGCAAGATGGATGAAGAAAATATTAGACTTGAGGGCAAAAAAATTAAAATCAAGACCTAAATGGTGGAGGCCAGCAGGGCAGAGGGATAGTGAAAGAAGGAGAGAGAGAGAAAGGTAAGAGACGTGTAGGGAAGGAAGTGCAAAACCAGGGGAGGTGGATGCCAATGGAATATCATCACTGTTACTAAAGAAACTGAGCAGGAGGCAATCTGAGGATGCAGAAGTCAGTTAAGGCAGACAAGACTGGAAAAGCAGATGAGGATGATGTAAAGGGAAAGAAGAGGACTATGCAGAAGACAAGAGTTTCAGGAGGTAAACTTTGGAGCACACCTCTCCAGAGAATTTACATCTGCTACTTAAAAACCTAAGATTACTGATGCAATTAATTAATATATGCCAAAAGCAGAAATTTTCACTCCACTTCAGGTCTTTATTTCCCCTTTTCTGTAGCCCTCTGCCAATCTGGCAGGCTGCTGTCTTCTGCTGACAAATCTACTCTTAAGTCAAGTGGTAGAAGATGTGCTATGAAACCGAAGAGCTGAACCTTCTAATGATCCATTAAAAGAAGAAATATGAAGGCAGCAAGGGAGAATGGGACATTTCACTTTTCAAAAGAACTTATATATATTCTCTTTGTTTGCATTAAAAAAAAAAAGATAAAAACATTAAGAGAATTGCAAGACTGCAAAGTCAAATGCTCAAAAGCAAAGTGTCAGAATTACATTTTTTTCTCCATTTTAGATTTTATATACAGTCAGTCCTTGGTTACATGATTGCTCAATTTCCCCCCAAAACCTTTCCTGACACTGTGCACCGGTTTGGAGGAAGAACAGGGAAATACATGGGTGATTACATCAAGAGCTCGATAAATCCTTATCCCTGAGAACTGCAGTTGTCCTTGTCTTTGTCACAAAATTCCTCTGAGATCAGGCAAATTATTTGAACTGGTGACTATTAAAAAATAATGAACATATTACAGTCACCAGCTTGGCACTTTTAAAATAAGGAACCTCTGCATGTTAAATTTGGGAAGGACTGATCTAAGGAAGTACTGAGATGAGAGTCAAAATGCCATGACTCCATCTGACACTTCTGATTTTACAGGGATCCCTTGTTTATACAAGGGATATACTAACATGATTTTAGCTATAGAAATATTGTAAAAATAAATTTATTTGGTTTGAATTAAAGTTTAAATCAGGATTCATAAATTCTTCCAGGCTTTTAAAGTCTCCTGAAGCCTCTAATTGCATGGGGTTTTCAATGAAAAGCTAGGAATCCAGAGTATTTTTTTAACCAGTCCCAAGCTCCTTACTTAGTTGTTTTTGCTAGTTAGGTAGTCTATAGCAACAATTAATAGAAGTTCTTCTAGAGGGTGAAACCTATGAAGCATTAGAGAAACTGCCATCAAAAATAAATCTGTACCACAGTGTGAATTTGTATGGCATACAGACATAAGGCACAATGAAAAAACACTGGCAGATGAAAAAGGTATTTAGCAATTGCTCATTTAGTTAGTCTACTGCATGAAGCAAGGCATCTGAAAAACACATTACCATAAAACCACGCGCCTGAAGACTGGATTATAAAGCATCCACAAAACAGGAGATGAACAGTTGCTGCAAAGGTTGCCTTTCCCACTAACATGTGAATGCCTGATTCTGCAAGCTATGCAGCCTAATTTTTTAAAAGTTTGTTTTTTATGCAACAAGTGAAGGGCAGTTAAAGAACTCATCTCCCACGTTGAATGTAACTGTTATCCTGGAGATACTCCAAATGGGACATACTAGATCAATGCTCAGCTTGTAAGAGTTACCAAATTTAATACTAGATAACCTTGCATGTTCACTTCTGTCCGTGCCTACAATTACCTCATCAGAAACTCCGAGCGAGTCTGCAACCAAATCCCATGGGCAGACACAAATTAGTCAATGGTTTAGATCAGCATAATACCCTTTAGTTCTAAGCAGCAAAAACAGTTCACATGGGCTGAAAACTGGATTGTCCATTTTCAAAGCTCACTGGAGTTGCAAAATGAAAGCTGTTTCAGATAACTTGCCTTGTCTGGCAGAGCAAATCCAAATTATAAACATCCTAAACATACCACAGGACACACAAGAGTATTTAGAGAGTACTCTGATGAGCAGAAGCCTTCCTTTCCACACCCGACTCACAGTGTAGTGCCTACATTCCCAACAGGTTCTTTGCTCTTTTGGAGAGTAGGACTGCTGAGCTGCAACTTGCTTTTCAACGCGTATTCCCCACATCTTCTGCACAAATTACCCAGGATGTTCTGCAAAGCCAAGCATGTTCAACATAAATATTTATAGGGTATGTGATCATTTGAACTTACTCAAAATGTCTGCATAAACATTTCTGGGCTGTAACGTGTTAAGTGGCAAGAAGAACAAAGCCTACAATTAGCCCTATATTTAAAAACTCAGCATTTTGTTTCATCCCAGTGATACTACTTCAGGTGTTAGAGAAGACTTATTTTACAAATTTCAATATTGCATATTTTCTCAAGAGAGATATTGTTATTGAATACTATCAGCTAACATGTGCCAACAGACTTTGGCCAAGTACTTCACCATTATTTCTGAATGAGCTGGGTAGATACCTTTTCTTATTTATAGTAAAGTGAAGGGCATGGTTAGGAGTTTTGTTCTTGAATTCTGTTCAAAGAAATAATTTCTATGTGATGTTGAACTGCAGTACTTTAAGTTCAGTGCCAAAAACACATTACTCCCTTAGATGATTCATCTGAACACTAATGGTGCACATGCTTTTAACTGTTCAAGAAGAAAGGCTGGACATATCCTACCATCACAGGGAAAATCCTCTGTGGTCAGAAACAGCAAAATTGACAACAATCAGTCACATTCTAGAGAAGCTTATAATTTAGTTTGTGGTTTTGAACTTTTTAATGTGTATGTTTGTGGTTGCTTTTTGTTTATTTCTGAGGGGATTGTTTGTTTGCTGTTTTGTTTTTAAAAGCAACAAGCACCTAGGCCTGCTGATGGAAAAGTGGACTGCCAAGCAACATATAGTCTCACCATCAGTTATCACATGAAGATGAACTAATGTCCTAAACATGCCTTTCTTTCTTGGGGCTCTCTCTCCTACTGATGTGACATTAATAATATCTACACTAGTTTTCTCATCATCTGTAAGTACCTTCAGGCTTATTGCTGTTTCTCCAACAGAACCTGTACACCAAACTACCTCTCCCAGTTCATTTGAGACTTTGCTAAAAAAATCTTTGTGTAGCACATCTCTTAATTTAACCAGTAAATTGGACTGGAGATCACAATTCACCTGAATGATTTTGCAAACACTACTATTGGTTTTTTCACTGTTAATAAAATTGGATTGCTAGATGTTATTCCTACTGTAAAGTATTTTCCTGTATGTTGGTGATACAAATAGTCTCACATTTAGCTGGTACTTTCTGCACAGTGAAAATACAAGTATTTGCACACAACCCTGCTGCCTGCTGTACTACTGCAGGAACAGTGTTGAGCCCCTGGAGAGATCAAGCACTGGAAAACATTCAAGACCTCTGTTCATCCTCCAGAAGGTTCATACCATTTCTACATCCCTTACCTCCTTCCCTTACACCACATCTCCTGTAGTCACAGCCTTCTCTTGAGTCTCACCCCAGTCTCAGCAGCCCACAAGACACTAATACATCTCTGCACCTCTCATTGTCTTCAATGTTCACACAGGTGCTCTCCCCCTACACCAGTCTACATACCAAATGAATTAGGGCTGTACTAGTCCAATATAACAATACATGAAATAATAAAGTGATGGCTCATGTGTTCTGTTTTCTCACAGCCCTGTTTTGTTTTGTGGCATGACATTTGACAAAGGTTCCTCATGAACTCAGAAGCAAAAGTGATTTTTAGAATGGGGTTTTATTAAATTATAGCAACAATATTATACAAGTATAATTATTCATGCTTTTAGTCCCAACTTTATGAATCCTGTTCAAGGACATGATACACCCATTAATTACATATAGACTAATGGCATCCTATGCAATTAGTATTTTTAAAAGTTTCATTTTTAAGGAAGGTCTGCATAAATGTGCATTCCTTGTGTGTGTGTGTGATACTGTCGGAGAAAATATTCACACAGCAGCCACCTCCCCTCAGTCTCCAGACTCTACTCTGCTTTTATCACTCCTGAGTGGAAAAGGCACTCTGCATCAAATCTTCCTGACAGCTGTGCTCAGCATCTCTGACTCAACAGACACAGATTACCCAAACATCGTAATCCATGAGATTTAGTGACATGATGGATTGAACAGCAACGTTGGTGAGCTACATCTGGGAGATGTCTTGATACACTAGACTAAATCCCTGAAATGGGCTAAACTGTGCTTGGTGCAGGACCTAACAGTGATGAAAAAATGGCTTTACATCATATTTGCAGCAAGCTGATCCTGAGATCAACAAGGCAAATGGAGTGTTCTCTCCAGCCAGCATCTGGCCAGACCTCAATCATGCTGAATTAGAGATTAATTTGTCCTAGTAACCTTAGCCAGATAAAACTATCATCTCTCACTAATCCCTCACTAAAGATTGAATTTCCTTGAAGAGAGATTTTTCTCCTTAAAACACGGTAACTCGCTTGTCTTAAAGAAAACCGAGACACAGAAGAGCAACTGGGTGACGTACAACAGAGCCTCAGTCGGACTAATCAACAGTCTCTTGACAGCAGTACCAGCTACATGAAGTCAACATCTCTGCAGCTCTTACCCCTCTGAGAGAGTAAAAGGGAAATACGCATCAGTGAAACAACAAATTCCTGCCTTTTGCCACGTTACTTTGTAAATCAAGCTGCAACCAAGCTTCAACCTTGCAAATTACTTCAGTTGCTAAGGAGATCAGCAAATAATTAAGAAAAAATGCAATGATAAGTGGCAGCGTCTATTACAGCATCAGTAATCAGTCTCCAAGCAATGTCAGATCTTACCAAAGTTTAGTTGCCCAGAGAAGATCCTCACTGCCTCCAAGAATTTATCTGAGGGCTAAACTTCACAGAAACCCCCGTGCATACGATTTTGGGGGGGTCTCCCGCTAGTCTCACGGCGGGGACTGCCCGCTGCAGCCCCAGATTCCTACCGGGAGTCGGCGGAGGGCAAAGTTTCCTAGAACCCGGAGACCGAGCAGGCTAACCCGGCATCGGCCCGTGGGCACCCACAAGCATTCCGAGGGGGTCTCTGACAGACTTTCCCGGGCAGGCGCGGCCACTGTCGCCGTTCCGCGGCGGAGGCCGGGACCAGGTCTCCTCCGCCCGCTGCCGGCGGGCCCCTCAGCCCTGACTCCTGCCCCTCCGGACGCTACCCCCCGTCCTACCCCGGCTACCGGGGGGAGTCTGCTCCGCCACCCCTCCGGGCAGCGTTACCTGGAGCTTCCGATGGCCGCTT